CCTTAGTTTTGCATGGAGAGTTAGATGTAAACAATTTTGAATTTTATTTTATGTATATATCACGCGCTTAGTACGCATTTATCAAGTAAAATTAATTTATGCTAACGTACTTTGTTTAAAATAAATTTGTATTATCTCGAAGACTTAATATATTTTCTAAACTTAATTCCTTGTGCTCACCTTATTTTATGAAAATTGAGAGTAACCTTTCGCACTAATATGAATTAATTATTGTATAAAACTAAACGCATTTTTGTATGCATTGCCTGAAATCCGCAAAATGTCACTGCTCACGAACAATTCAGCTCCCTAAACATTAACTTAATTTATTTCTAATAAAAATTAACTTAATTTATTTCTAGAAATCAGAATCAATCCTAAAAAGCTCAAGTTTAAGCAGATTGTATTAGACTACAATGTCCATTTAGTTAGGAAATTTGCGTAATTTTTTATTTTTAAATTAATATATGTTCAGTTGGTGAAAGAAGAAAACACTCGTATTTTTTTTTTTGGGTGAACAAAACACTTGTATTTACATATAAATTACTCCCCCTTTTGAGATAAAGACGGCCATATCTAGTTTTTTATTTTCCTCTTTGGGACAGCTTTACACTTTAGAACGCACTACAGTAGAATCTACCACTTAACATTTCTTAGTTAGAGAGTTGTACCAGCTTAATTAAAGATATCGAATTCAAGCTTTGGAGATGTGCAAAAATAATGGTGGTAGAGCTTTCATTGAAAGAGTTTTATTTTTGGCTCATTTTGAATTAATGTTGACCCTCATTAAAGTCTTCTCAAGTCGACATGGAGTAGACCTAAATACTAGGTATTGCACAGAAAAACAAGAACGATACTTCAGTTCCAATGGGATCATTAATTTGTTAAAGTAAAGTCCAAATAAATTAAATTTATAAATGTAAAGTAAGTCCTTTAGGTCCTTATTTGGTATTTTTATATAGTTCAATCTATTTTTAATTTTAAAATAAAGAAAATGAGTTGCAAATGCAAGAAGATAAAATTATAAATTTGGGAGATAAAGTTGCAAATTCTTGAAAGTGTTTAAATAATATGACATATTACTTTTTAAATTTAATCATTAATATTTGTGTTCCTTATTAAATTGGGAAAAAAGAGTTACAAATTCAAAATGATGAAATTACAAATTTGTCTCTCACATTTTTTTATTTTGATATTTTGCAATTTTGTCTCCCAAATTTATAATTTTATCTTGTTGAATTTGCAATTGATTTTTTCAATTTTAATAGAGAATAGAAATCTTAATGATTAACTTTGAAAAGAAACAAGTCATTATTTAAACACTTCTAGAAATTTGCAACTTTATCTTGGCTCCCAAATTTTCAATTTGGTCATCTTAAATTTGTAACTTGCTTTCCCAATTTTCAGTAGGGAACACAAAGCTTAATGGTTAAATTTGAAAGGTAACATACCATTATTTAGACATTTCGAAGAATTTGCAACTTGGTCTCCCAAATTTGCATTTTTGTCTTGTTAAATTTGCAACTCATTTTTTCAATTTTAAAATCAGCAACAAATTCCATTATATGAAAATACCAGTTAAAGACCTAGGAGACTTCCACATTTTAAAATTTGTGGGGACTTTCTTAGAATAAAATTATCCCAATGGGGCTCAAGTGTTATTCCAAAAAATAATAATAAACAACACACAAGACCATTCATCATTTGGATAACAACCTAAAAGTTAGCCAGATTCCACGTCTTATAGTAATGATAATAAAATAATCAATCATCAAATTATTTAATACAGTAAGTAGAGGCTGATTGTATCATGTTAGGAATTATGGAGTGGAGATTGATCATCTGCTCCTGAATAATTTATTGCATATAGTACTGAAAGAAAAAGTGAAGGCGATAATCGGAATGTGTATAAATATACCAGTGTATATCATATAAATGAGACCGACAGCATATACGTCCTTTTGTTTGTCACACTTAAGTAGGAAGTGCTAGGAGATAAAACCAAATGAGCTCCTTGTACTATAATGCCCTTCCCCAATTCACTTACAAGCAATATTTTATAGTAATTAAAAAAAGTAAAATAGTCTATATATCATTAGATGCATGAGGATTTGGTTCAAATCCTCCGTTTAAATAGATAAAAGTCTTAGATTTAGATTTGACCTAAATTCAAATTCATGTTTTATTATAATTTCTTTATAATTTTAACTTTCTTGTAGATTTTAATTATTTGAAATTTTAACTATTTCAACTCTATCATTTTTTTCTTCATATTTTTACTATCAGTATCTTTGTTATTTTCATCACTCCTCTCATCTCTCATTCTTGCATCTTAGTATCTCACCAATTGAAGAATAAAGATAAGCTTGTCACTTTCAAAATTTTGTTTTTGCTTTGAATCATAACTTGTCTCTTGTTTACCTTTAATTTTTTTCCCACTATCTAGACAAATGATTTTAAATACATGAATTTTAAATATGAGATTTTAAATCAAACATTATCTCATTGATTTTATATTTTACTTCTATTTTACATTCTTTTAAAACGAATATGCCCAACCACGAAACTGCGAATTTTTTGGAAAAGCAGTCTCTTTATGAAACCAAGAGAAGGATTTCGAGCCCATCAATCATGAGAATCACAGAACCCCAAGAACGCTTCTTTTTCCTTTTTTTTTAATTTTAAAAAATAATTTTGTAAAGATCATCTAATGTAAGACTCTGATCAAGTTTGGCATCTGGCTAGAAAAATGGACTCCATCAGCAAAATAATGTTTGGCATGTACATTTCCTTGCAAGCATCACATGTATGGGATATGAAATGTGCTTTCCTTCGTGATTTGTGTGCGTGTATATATTAAACTATTCTAATATTCCTTAAGTTGTATCATTAAAATTATCTAGAAATTATTTTGATTTCTATTTTTACCTATAATAAATACCATAAATTTTAAAAAACATATATTCTCTGTCTCTATCCTCTCATTGAAAATTGATAATGGCATTTTTAAAATAAATCAATTAATATTACACAAATTCTTGTAAAATGAATTATATTAATTTTTATATTATTATCAATATATATATCAATACATACTCCCTTCCTTAAGATATTTTTTAGAAATTTTATTTGATCCTTAACATTAGATACTTTATAAAATCTAGTGAGTAAAGTAATTATGAATTATTTTCAAAAGATCTCACATATCTAATTAATTCATTTGAACGATCCATTTAACTTTAAGGTAAAAATGTAGAAGTGAAGACTTTTAATTAATTGTAGTTTACGAATGTTACAGTAATTTTTGAAGAAATTAAAACTACTCTTAATTAACTAATATAATTCACATCAAATTTTTTAACATGGTTGATTCAATTAAAAGTTCATTATAAATATTATAGAAAGTAGTATAATAAAATTTATGAAAAACAATACAAATAATGAATAGCGTAACTCATTCTCTGTGTGTGTATTTATGTAGTCGAATTTAATAAATATATCAAAGGTATTCTCGAAATATCTGTGAGGCCAGTCCATTTTTGATATATTAACTCAAAATTTTATGAATCAAGTTTACAAATTTTTTCTCTCTATAATAAAATTTATAGAAAACTATACGAATAATGAATAGCTTAACTCATTCTTTGTATATATATGCAGTCACATTTAATGAATATATCAAAAGTATTCCATCCTCATTTTCGAGACTCAAATGGTGGGAGAGAAGGAATGGCTGAAAAGTTGGGGAAATAACACTGTATATTAACTGAAAATTTTATGACTCGAGCACATGAGTTCTTCTTTATTATATACTAGTTAATAATCACTTTTGTAATTTTTAATTTATTATGGAAAAAATGTCGAATGAAGGTGTGATGCTTGCTTGTGCATCCATCTTTGATCTACAAAAGCAACAAATTTTTTCAATGAATATGAAAAGCACGGCCATATTTTATTTTTTTGTGAAATCTACATATGCTTATCTTAGGAAGGAGGGAACGTTGAACCCACTATGGAGTAAATTTTGGAAAATGAGGATTCCCCATAGATGCAAATCTTTTATGTGGATGGTACTACATGACAGGTTGTTAACCAATAAACTTCATGTTTAGAAGCACTTAAGTAATGATGCGAGTTGCACGTGGCGTAAGGATGCGGGTGAGGATATTCTTCATGTCCTTCAGCATTTGCTTGGAAGTCCAAGATTTGTGGAAAGCTTTTGTTAAACCAGATTTTGTAGATCAATTCTTCAACGCTCAACTTTGGGATTGGCGCTGAATGAATATTTTCATAAATGTTGGCATGGTAAATGATTATTGGACGAGCTGGTTCTCGATAGTGTGCTGGCTTCTATGGAAGCGTAGAAATGATTGTATTTTTCAGAATACTACTGAGTCAAATGCTTCGATCACAAATCATGCGAAGGCCATCTTAAAGTGGATGACGCAAGACCAGCAAGATCTTCGAGAGATGAAACCAGGTAGGAACAGACCTGATATCCTGACTAGTAGGTATAACCCGAACAGATTGCAACTTTTTGTGGATGGTGCATTTTCATAGTGATCAAATCCAGCAGGTTGTAGCGGAGTCTTGAAGGACCATAATGGCAGCCCATTGAGAGCTTTTATGCTTAGGTTACAAGAAGGCGATGCCTTTTTTGCAAAACTATGGGCATGTTTAACAAGTCTGAAGATTGCATGGGATAATGGATGCCGCTCCCTAATTCTGCATAGTAATGCCACAGAAGTTGTGAACCTGATAAAAGGAGGGAACATGGATGTCCATATGTATTGTGGACTTATCATAGAGATTCATGAACTGCTTAGCTAGAGCTGGGAAGTGAGTCTATGCATTACTAATTGAGCCATGAATATTGAGGCTGACTCTCTTGTGAAGCGTTCTTTGGGAGCGGCACTTAGTTTCTATCATCCGGCACTGCATGTGCCAATTTCTTGGATTATCTGAAACCACTTTTTAATACAAAAGCAACAAAATTGAAGTTGAGAAAGTTGCGAGAGGACCTACAGATGAGTAGACCCATCACTTTGTTATTATGATATGACGAAAGATCAATACTAGATCTTTTTTTTTTGGGCCAAAGAAGATTAGTACTACATCCTCACATCTGAGCATATACTAATTAAAAACACTATGTCCCACTTTATTATCATTTCACACACACTGGGTTGGCGCAACCTAACATTGAAATTAATCTACATAGCCATTTTCTCATATTGCGGAATTACTATTGGACTTCTCACTTTGTGCTTGCCATCTGTCCATGCCAGCTCCCCAAATGAAGGCTGATCTGAAGTTTTGGCTGAACTTGTTACCTGCAAAATCACCAGATAGCTCTTCTTCTGGTTTGTCCTCTGAAACGTCAAAGTTGTCGGAAGAACAGCAACCTTAACTCCTGTCGGGGCTGTGACATTTACAGTATACGTGCTTGGAGGTCCAACATTTGTTACAGTGCGAGTAACATTTACAGGTTTCACACCCAGAAAAGGTAATGTGATGGAAGGGTAGTTGAAATCTTCTAGTCTGTAAGACCTCGGACATTTGTATGGCCTGTTATAGTTAATGGCTTCCACTAATCTTTCCTCATAAGCAGAGGCACATAACAAATTGAGGTAATCAGAAACCTTGAGATCATAAACAAGACCTGGGTCTATTGCTTGGTTGGGTTTGACGAATCCTGTACCATAATGAAATGGAGTTGCTACTTCATCATCTTGCTCGTCCCGAATCTGCGCATTGGTGTTATCCAGCATGTTTGCTGAAACGACATAGTTTTGAATACCTGTTTGAGAGAGAGAGAGAGAGAGAGAGAGAGAGCAAACTGTAAACATGATAACAGACTAATGCATGTCATAATACCGGTGGTCATGATGGCTGACTTGATCATTGCAGGACTCCAACTAGGATGGCGAGTTTTAAGAAGACCAACAATGCCAGTAACATGAGGACATGCCATGGAAGTTCCAGATAGAATGTTATAGTCAAAGTGACGTCCTACATCCGAATCTAGGTTGGTGGGACTTGCAGCAGAGGAATAAGCAGCAATTATATCCTGACCTGGTGCAGTTACATCAGGCTGAAAATAACCATAAGAAAAAAAAAAAAAACAGTTACCACAGGAAAACAAAAGAATCATGAGCCATGTCCTTGATTGAATGCGTGTTAAGAATGGGGAGTGACTAAAATGGAAGAAAGGAAAAACGAGCAAAATTAGTAAAATAACACCATATCTTAATTCAAAATTTTAATGCTTAAGTTTATGGGTCCATGGTTTTCATTAATTATATATTACTCCTCTTGTCTTATTTATATAATAGAAAGAATATTTGTTTTGGTTTTATTTATATAGAATACCTCAATGATTATTGTGTTATCTTTACCCTTTTACCCCTATTAAATGTGGGGAAGGTTATTAAATGTTAAAATATTTTATTTTTAATATATATATATATATTTAATAGAAATAAAGTTAAAAACTTGTTGAATTTTATACAAAGTAAATGAGATTTAAGATTTTTTTTGGTTTCAATAAAAATGTTAGAGATGACTTATACATAGAACTAAAAAAAGTAGTTATTAAGTCTCACTTTATCTGATGTGAGATTTTCTAAATTTTTTTAAAGCCTCTCATATTTGTACAACCTAACCATATGGATATAGATATATATATGTATAACCTTGAGGATTGAGGGTAGAATCATGTTGGGTCCCCTGGATGAGAATGTTGAAACTTTTGGAGCTGGCCTTTTTGGGATAATTGTTTTTGCGTTGTCCAAGAATGCAAGCGGGTTCCTGCACCAATATATATATATATATATATGAATAAATGGAGCCCTGTGATTGGAAATTAAATATTTTTCCAAGCAACTTCAAATTAAAGGGATTAGCATATGTAATAACTTACTTGTTGTTGTCGAGATAGTCCGACAAATCATTACCATGGGAATGATGAGTTGGGGGCGGCGGAGGTTTTTTAGTAGGAACATTGGAAGTATCGATTACATGAGCATCAGCTGTAGCTGTATTAAATTGCTCATCGTTGCGCAGAATCATTTTCAATGCGCCTACACGCTTTGCTTCTGCACCCTTGTCCATAGGTCTTAAGCTCCTTCCTCTTTGGCACACCAATATGCGACCCCTTACCTTTGTAGGATCAAGGGTTCCTGGTCTGCAAAGTTGACTACAACAGGAACCAAAATATAATGTATATTATATTGTATCCATCATATACTGATAGCTAATTAATTAAAGCATGAAGAATCGAGAAATTATATATTTCATTCATTCTCACGCGTCTTGAAATGTCGCATTAGGAAGCTTGACATTGCCACCAATGACCACGGGAATGAACTTCTGAGATGTCGAGTTTGTGGCAAGACTTGTCCCCTGATTGTCCATGTTTTTGTTAGTTAGAATTGACGTAGTTTAAGTTAGAGAAACAAACTAATACTTAATTTTAAGCCATATCAGTAATAATGAGGTTAATATTGTTGAAACTTGAAAGAACAAGCCATATATACCTTTATGCGTTGGCCATTACCGAGAGTAATATTATCAGTGAAGCCCCTGTCTATGGAGCCGGAAGCAACAGTGAAGATCCAAGGTGCTACATTCGATACAGTTTGAAGTTCAGGACCATCATTACCAGCAGAGGCAACCACTATTATGCCTCTAGAAACTGCATGAAAGGACCCAATGGAGATCCCATTTGTCAACATGTCATTAATATCTGGGACGGCACTTCGGCCGATGGAAATAGAGAGCACATCGACACCATCATCAATGGCATGATCCAAAGCAGAAATCAAGTCTTCATCAGTGCAGTCTTCAGAATTATCACGGCCCCAGCAGACTTTGTACACTGCAAGACGAGCTCTCGGAGATCCGCCTTTCGCAGTGCCATTCCCGTTGTTGAGAACACTTACGTTCCGAACAAAGTTGCCGCCGGCTGTTGACAGTGTGTGGGTCCCATGCCCCTCAAAGTCACGAGCACTGATACCATTTGATGGGCCCAGGCTTCCATGTTTTATCTCATAGGCTTTATAAAAGGTTTTGGCTCCAATGAGCTTCCTGTTTTACCAAATAATGATCAAAAGATACAAATGATCCTTCCTCCTATCCTTCAAAATTTATTGTTTTAACAATTTTATTATAGAAAAAATTAATCTTTTAATCTTTCAACTTTTAACTCACTTGTAACTCCATCTCTCAATTATAACTCAATGCAATTTAGTCCATTAACTTTTGACTCGTTTATAACTCAATTTTTCAAATTTTGTTAGCTCTCTGTTTTTTTTTATGTTAGTTTAGTCCTACCTCAAAGAGTAAGAGGAAAGTATTTTAGAATAAGAGATGAGTATTTTTTTATCTATTTTATTTGATAAAGATAATTTTTTAAAAAATTTGAAAAATAAAGATCGAATTATAAGTGAGCCAAAAGTTAAGTGACCAAATTACAGCAAGTCATAGTTGAGAGATTGAATCACAACAAGTCATAATTAAAAAATTAGATTACAAGTAAATTAAAAGTTAAAGAATTAAAAGATTAATTTTTTTTATTATTTAAAACAAGAAATTATGAACATGTATTTAACTGCATTTTGATCAAACCTGTTACAAAGAGTCATGTTAGAACGGCCAGACAAACTGTAGAGCTCGCATTTTGATCCTCCACGCCACTTCTTTGGAATGGGACCGTACCCATCATCTCGGAAGCTTCTAGACTCCGGCCAAACACCTATCCAATAAAACCACACAATGAATAATAATAATAATAACAATAATAAACACGCACGTGCAGATTGTTAGAATCTTTATATAAAGTATGTAAATTTTTTTAGAATCGTCAAAATAGTTCAAGCCATTGAATTAAATATATTCCAAATTTTATATTATCATAATTTATTTTTTAATTTATAGATGTGATATTGCTTTTATCTTCACGAACACACACAACATGACATTCCAAAATGATAATACAATTACCAGTATCAAGACTGCCGATAATCACATTTTGACCAAATCTTCCTTTGACCCAAGCTGAGTCAGCTATGACTCGTCCATTTCTTTCTTGTCCCAGAAAAGCCCATGATCTGGTTGTGTGCAGCTTATGCGATTGGCTCAAGAACACTGACACCACTTTTGGATTTTCTGCATCAATTTTGCAACCATTTTATGTCAATTATTACCAATATACTTCCTTTGCTTTTAATTTATCACAAAATTTTGAAAGGTGAGATACTAAAATATATACCCTCGTCTGATGCAATGTAGTTAAATAAGGATATTGTTTGGTGAAAAAACAATAAACCAAGTATTGGAACTTCACAACAATAAAACAAACAGTGCGGCTCTTGTTCCTCCACCACTGTTGAGGTTGGGTTCCCATATGCGTATAAGCTCTTTAAATTAAAGGGCTTTATCAGAATATGGAAAAAAATTTGGGTCATTTGGTACAATATAACTGGGTTATTGAGTGTAAAATTCCCCCTAAGGATTTAAAGTTATGAGAGGAATAGTCACCGCACTCTTGCACGCATGATAAAAACTGTCCCACGTGAGTGGGAGCTTTGTGCACATGAGTGCATGAAACCGGACAACATTCGGCATACTCTCAGAACATAAACTTTCCACTCGTTCTCTCTTCTGCTGTAAAACAAAGATAGAGTTCGTGTAACTCCGCATAGAGATCATAACCGGTGCGACAAACAGGTATGCTTCTCTAAATCTTACAGTTGAATATGTTTATTATTAGAGGGTTTAGGATCTAGCCAGTTGAAGTGAGGGTCTCACTTTTGATCTCAGCTGCTTCTTCTTCTTCAAGTAATGCAGCAAAGCCATTGATGTGTTTGTTGTAAGAGTAAAACATGGCTTCTTTGGCCCTCTCATGACTGTCAAAAATCTTATTCTTGTCAGGTACAGATCTTGCTGCCCAAAGCATGTAAATCGATTGACTAGAAATTAATGGGAAGTGCGTACCTTCCTAAGACTGAGGCAAGCAAATCATAATGTGAACTTGTGGCGATGTCCATATCAGCAGAGGAAGGTCTCGGACCATGAGAATGTGATCCTAAGTATACAACGTAAGACTATGCAAAAGACAAAGGAAAACGAAAACATTGGATAAGTCATTTAAAGCTATCGATTGATCGACGATGATAAAAGATTATTAACCAGAACAAATGCTGGCTTGCCTTTTTAATGGCATGTGCAGGTCGCTGCAACTGCAAGAAGCTGCAAACCAGAAGCGAAGAAAGAAGAAGGTGATGAAACATAGTCAAGCCTATCATTTTTCTTCACCTTGACAAGTACAATGATCGATGTGCGAGAATGGCAACTCTAATTCGTCTATTTATATTAATCCATTCTCAGGTACAAGTGGATGGGGAAACTTTTGTTTCAGTATTCTTCTTAATATAATAAAGAAAATGGGCCTACCATACTTGCTTCTGGTTCCATTGTTACAATGTGCTTGTCGGCATATACTGCCTCTCTAATGTAGTGATGTTGTGGAGCTTGAATTAATGTAGATTTCTCGAAGAGTTCCAAGAGAGAAGGACAAGATTAAGTGGGAGGAAGTGGAACCCAAAGGACAATCTATATATATATATATAAGTAGAACCCAAAGGACAAGTTCTTTGCACTGAGTTGTGTTGGTGGTAGGTAGGAAACTAAAGCTTGAGTCGTACCGAAAGACATTGTCCTTAAAAACTATTCCTGCATATTGGTATGGTAGATAGACAGTTTTCTAGGATTAAATAAGCTCTTCCTGCAAACAAGCAAGGCAACATAACAACATATACTAGTAGGAAAGTAACTCAAACAGATGAACACAGTACATACAAGGCAGGGGAAAAAAGAACTAGCTCAAAAGCTCAAGAGCTTAGCAAAGTGGTTCTGTCTGTAGACATGCCTATATATAAGTCAAAATCCTGGAGAATGTTGGAATACTAATCACCGGATTAATCTACTATTAAACCTCGGTTACAAGTATATTATTTCCATTAAGCACTGAGTCATTAGGGGCATAAAACGGTATTGAAATCTGATTAATAAAATTCATTTAACAATTTGCTTAAAGCCTAGGAATGATTAAGGTTCACATTCAAATTTCAATCAGTCAAAAAATAAGTTTTCTGGTAAGCTAATTTAAATAAATAATTATTTATTTTTTACAAAAATAATCTAGTAAAAAGAACCCAATGCCTGTTTAACTCATGCACAGGGGGTGAATTAGTTGTTTTCAACTGCGATTATCCTAAGTTGGTTTGTTTCGTGCACACGAGCCTACTTCTCCTCCAAGTCCATTTTAGTAGCCCATTTCATTCCTTAATATTTATACACTAGAAGCTCTCTTCATGTGGGCAATATAGGACTTCTTCTTTTCACACACACACACACACACACACAATAACTACAACAATCCCCCACATGTGTTAAAAATACCTACTATTATCTAAATTGTTCAAACAAAAGATAATCACTTTGAATTTGGTGTCTTTCGACTTGAACCAAACCTAGACTAATGAAATTTAGCACATAGAAAAGGCGATGTAACTTTGTTATTGAAGTAATAGATCTTAAGTGTGTACTAGAGATCTTATTAATCAGATTATACCCCCACAGTCTCTACTATTAACGATAGTTTTGCATATTATCGACCATGCACATGCCTAGTTTTGACAAATGCTCTAGAGATTTTGCCACGATCTCATAGGAACAGCCCTACTCTACATTTATATAGGTGTTTTCATTAAATGTATCTGTAATGAATGCACAATCCACAAGGACTATGAAAACATTAAGAGCTTCTGCTCAGCCTTCGTTCAATACATTCTAGCACTTTCTCAAGCCAGAGGAAGGGACAAAAATTTAGTGCTAGAAGAACTAACAAATGACTTATTCTTACTCATTAAACCTTCTTTATGGGATCTCCAATTACAAAGGTTGGATTGCCATCACCGTCAACTTCAAATAGGCTTAAGTCCCATTTCCCTTGATGTTTCTATAATAACCCATGAGTTTAAATTAAAAATTAAAATTTATGATTAAGTATTTTAATTGAATTTTTATTAATTTTTGGGGCAAATATAATAAGAAAGGATCATTGTATGGTGAAAATTGTGTTTATAATTAATCCATCAAGTCCCTGGTTTGAGTCTTGTAGATGCATGAAAGGATTTTTATTTTAGTTTTTGAGTAAATGACCATCATGCCCCTCTGGGAATAAAATAAAATAAAAACAAAACAAAAGGAATGATACACATGCACATAAGATGGGAGCATTTCCTTCCCCTTTCATTTTCACCTCCACAGTAGATATAGCAAGAGTTAGTTCCAGAAGCTTCATCCACTGCCTCTCCCTTCTCCTTTTCATTCATCAATCATCGAAAACTGTTGGGGTGTGCCATTCGTTCGCCACTTTGGTGGTTATGTGGGGTTGTGATCTTATTTTCTTCCTCCTCTGTTTTGACACTATTAGTCCTGCTTAATTCCTCTATTGCTATTTAGTCGCCAGTTAGTGTTTGCTATGGGTTTGCCATTGTTAAGGTTTGATTCACAATGTCCATGCTTCCCTACACTTCCACCCATCCTTTCTTAGTTTTATTTCTCATCGCCGACATTCACCTCTTTTGTCGCTGTGCTTTCTATGGTGTGGGTGTCAGACATTTTTCTTCTTCCTCCTCCATTTCTGCTCAAGCAACTCCTCTTGTTTCTAATATTGATAATTTAAGGTGAGGATTTTTTAGTACTCTTTCATGGTTATTTTTTTGGGTGTATTTAGAAAGCTATGATAGTGATCTCTGCTCAATGATGCTACCATCTGTGACTTTGTTTAGAGTAGGATTTGAGTAAATTAAAATTTAAAGGTTAAGTGAATATATATTTCCATTGAGTAATCTGTATATGGTTATTTTGGGTTATTGTCAATAGAGATGAATGTGAATTTGGTTCTTCATTTGAAGTCAAAACTGATTTTGTTCTAGATTAAATCTAAATATTGGTATTGAGAAATTTTGGAAAGGATATTAAGGAAAAAGATGCTTTATGTTTTTTCAAACTTGGATGCATATGAGAGATTTGACAAAATGCTTAGAAGGAAGTTGGAATAAGAAATAGAGATTTTGAAGAGAATATTTTCATTGATAATTCAAGTACTAAATTTCTATTTATGTATTGATTTCTGGAATATCTATTAAATGTTGTGGAATTGTAGGAAGCCAAATAAAATTTTAGTGTATATTAAGGAAATTGAAAGAGAAATGAACTTGTCATTATGGTTTAGCAATGATGCTTTCAAGATGTTCGATAGAATGTTTGTTAGAATAAGTTTTATCAGGTTATGAACTTAAAAAATTTCATTAATTTTTATGAGGATATATTTGGTTTAAGTGTTGATTATTCATGGGTTTAACTTGAGCTTTGTGAAGAATTTTGATTGTGAAGCTATTGTTAGATAAATTGGATTTTGGAAATTATATGGTTGATGAGTATAAATGATAATATTGTTTTTTTAGACTTCATTTGGGAATGCACCTAAGGTGCTCGATGAGATGAGTGATAGAAGAACTTTAAAACTTTAGCATGATTGAGGTTGTCTAGAAGAAGGAAGATTTGACTCTAAAGAGTAAATATGCATTTGGAAATACTATAAGTAAGTGGATAATGTCCCAACCGATTTATCAATAAGATTCTTTTTCCAAGATATTTTTTTACTTAGATCATTCAATAACAATTATGTTACGTATTTAATACTTTTTTTAATTAAATTATTTTTGGGAAATTATAAAACATGTTGAGGAATATTTGAGTTATGGTATGTATATGTGTTTTTCCTTACGAAGAATATTTTCAAAATTGATGAAATTATTTTTATCAACTCTGGTTAATTTTGGGTTACTTAATAAATGTCAAACACAGACATTAGTTACAAAATTTTATTTTGGCAAGTTTTTAATGCTCAAAATACTCATGCGAGTTTGACTTTGAGAAATGAAGCTGTATTTTTATAGTGATAATTTTCTCGTATATTTGAAAATGGATTTGAAAGAAATTTTATACAAACACTAGTTGCTACCGACAGTCCTATTAGCCCTTGGCGTACCATGGTTAATGACTAGTTAGTTTGTTTTTGTAACATCCTAAATTTAGAGGTTAATCGAGGGTGAAGTGAAAATTAGCGTGGGATTAGAAATTCAGATAATTAATTAGTATTTTGACTTGTTTGTGTGTTGTATGAATAGATATTAGTGATAGGAGTACGTTTTGGGTCAAAGCAAGTGTGCTTGGTGAGAATAAATCTCACTGTGCCATGCACCGCGGCATGTGCTGCATGTGCCGCAACGCATGGACCAGAATTTACCTTCATAAGTTGTGAAATTTTAGAAATTTTGGAGGAGAGAAATTGAGTAACACACGAGATAGAGAGATGAGAAGGGCTGAGGAGCTAGGTTAAGTCATTTTGAAGCGGTAGAAGGTAATTTAGATCGATAACTTATTAGGTAAGCTACGTATAACTCTTATCTTCAATTTTACACAAATTTATCTAAAAATGAGTTATAGGGAAATTAAATCATGGAATTTGAGGGGTTTGATTCTTGCCCAATAGTAATAAAAAGGTTCTTAGAAGTTAACTTAAAGCTTTGCGACTGGTTTAGAGCTGAATGGTAGAGCTTTGAACTCGTAAGCTCAATTTTAGACTTTAGAGAGAGAAAGTTAGGGCAAAAATTTATTTTGAATGAAATAAAACCGTTTGAGGTGATGTAAAGTAGTAATTGAGTAGTCATAGACTTAGAATGGATAAATGAAAAAGAGTTTACGGATGAATATAGCCCTAAATAGTAAAAATTAGTTTTTGGTCAAAATAGACCAAATGACTAAATGTGCCAAATGTGTTCAGATTGGCATATTAGATGTGTGAGTAAAGAAAGGAAGCTTGAGATAAGCTTATGTGATAGTTGAAATCCACGGGTAGCCTTTCTAGTGACAGAAGGGTTGAGGTAACTGAATACTTCCTTTGTTTGACTATTTATTGTAACTGTATGTTAGTATGCTATGTAGTACATGGAATGGTTTCGAACTAAGCATGTTTTACAGAATTGAGTGATTGTTGTCTATGAAATGACTTTTAGTTGAAATGAGCATTGAAATGTGTATTTTGTAATGAAAAATATTATTCGTATATATATAATGTGCAAGAGAGTGTGATATGGTAAATGGGAACCTTAAATAGTTTGAAAAGGCATGATTATAGGAGTAGGAATTCACTCGAGTGTAGGAGATGATAAAGATCATATGGCAAGGTTTTCTTAGTACCCTG